ACGGTATCCCTTTAATACCAAAACGGCAATCAAAGCAACTTCTCTCCCCACAGAACAATCAAAAACCTGCTAGTGTGACATAAAGATAAAGGTATAAATTCAGGTTTTATTTCAATACAAGCAGACTGCAAGGAGAAGAAAAGGACAGAAAAATATTTACATCATTTGAAGCAACATTATCACAGCCCAGTGGGCTGAAATACATTTTTTCCTTGTATCTGTTGGAAAATTCCACCTAATGATGTTATTTTTAAAGGCTTTAATGTTCTTTATTCTAAAAACAACTATTAACTATTACATTTCAGCACACTTGCGTACAATTAGGTAAGGGACCGATAAGGAAAGACCGCAGATCTTAGCTTCCAAAAAGTGCAGAAAACAGAGGACATTTATAAAAACTTAAAAGATTTGGGAGAAGAGATTTTTTAATGCGTTTATGCAGGAAAAATAATCCCAATGCAACAAAAGAAACCCAAAAACATATTTCAAAGATTTTTTGGCAACATGTGGTAGAGCTTTTTGTACTCCATAGGTTTCAACCTACTTTTTAAATGGGTTTCAACCTACTTTTTGAGCTTGCTTATTCAACTACATTTACTAGCAGGAACTACACATTGTGAAGAAGGGACAAGTCTAAATTCAGCCCAGCCTGCAAGAATCTGAAGCAAAAGCATTAAGACACGAGAGGAAAAAACAATCAAAGTGTTTTGGTTGGAAATCAGTAGGCTCCAACTTTTAACTGAACCTCAGAGGCAGGCGGTACAGGGGTTTCAAAGTTAGCTGGGCATCCCTTAAAAAGCCCAGATCTAAAAACAAGGACTTTCATATAAACCGATGGATTAAAAACAAAATGGCGAGGGAAGAGATTCTACAATGGCCAAGGGCTGGCTGAACAGAAATGGACAAAACTCCCTTGTCCAAAACTGCTTCTTTCTACCCAGAAGCATTACTGCAATACTGTACACAAAAGATGCTTACATCCCCTGCCTAGCACTACAGGCTCTAGAAGTACCCCTAAAACCCAGTGAAAACAAAAAACCAAACAGCGTGTATTTTCTAAGTGGGCACGCTATCATCAGCGGACATTCCTTGTTCATTTCAAAGTTTTCACCACCAGCGGATAACCAGCCAATCTTTAATTCCTATCTAGTTGGCACTGCTTCAGCAGGTTAATTTGGGGGAGAGGGGGCCAGGCAGGGGAAGAGCAAGTAATTTTTTTTTTTGTTTAAACATTACATTCTATTCATCTTGTTAACCAGTAACACAAGCCTGGCAATGGCGCTGTGCCTCTCCCCCCAACCCACAGCCTGCACTCCAGCGACCCAAAAGGAAAATTCTGCTGATACCAGGTAGTCAACGGTCCGCTGGGTCCCTTAAGCCACAGGGCAGGAAAGTAACAAGGAACGGGAATACAGAAAACAACAAAGAACAGGTTCTGCATCAGCAGTTTCTATAACTTTTGCTTCTGAAATTCAGACTCTTGGCAGCCTGAAGTATGACCAATGATACCATGCTCCAAAATTAACAGACAGCTAAACTCAGAGGACAGTGTTCTCTAGCTATTTCAGGTATCCATCAATTCCTCTGCAGACAAAGGAAAATGGGAATCTGAACTGGAAAATGTCTCCTCAAATCTACCCAACACCTTGCTCTTTGCATGTAATGAAACGGAGCCTTCTAGCTTGCCTACCTACAACACCGAGCTCCAAGGCAAATACTGGAACACACCAGATCAAGGCAACCTGTAACAGCTAAACACTTTGGAAATTTGCTGGCACATCTTGCCTTGAGGAGGAATGCAGAAAGATTTCCATAATTAAATTTAAGTAGTATCACACCCCAAACTAGCAGAATAATTATTTTTACAGACTCCTCCCAACCTTCCAGGCCTTGACAATTTAACACTTAAAAAAAAATGAATAAATCAGGCTGGCTTAATCAGAGTGCATGTTTCCCAGATGTGGATAAGTCCCAGCAATAGTGCTCAGAGGTGTCAGCTAACCCATGAAGATAAGACTTGCCACGTATGGAAGGAAAATGTCCTCTTTCCCTACTAGAAGGCCAAACTCTCAAGGCTAAGCAAGGCTAACATCTTATCTGTTCTGCTCCATATATGCCATCCATCTCTGATTTCCCAAGCTAACGCAATCAATTAAAGGCAATTTCTATCCTCTTTAAAAAAAAAAACCAAGAAAAACCCGAGGTGGTCTCTGGAACCAATTTACTTTTATTCCCCCTCAAAGCCTGTGTGATAGATTTACAAACGCAGGTCATTTCTTAAAGGGGGAAAAAATTCCTTGTGTTCCAGGCCCACAAAATCATCTTCAAAAGAGAAGGGGAAGGGAAATCTAATAGGTGAAATCATTTATTGGGATTTTGACAGCCAAAATAGTTCTTTGCCAAGTCTTTCTAATTGCAGTGAATCAGAACTCAAAGAGTTCTCATACACTTTCTCAGGGTGATAAGCTTTTTCTTTTGAAAGATAAATTGGTGTTTAAGTGTCAACCTCCAATTGTAAAGACTGACCAACTGTTTCAAATTACTTCATTTTCTTTTACTTTCCTAAACCCCCCTCCCCAAAAGCTATAAAACCTAGTTGATTTTTAAGGGATATGGAAAGAAAGTTATCAAGATTAAAGGCAGGTTATTTTTAACTGAGAAGAGAAGGGGATAAGATAAACAAACAGCCTGTGATTTACAAGATAAAGCTCAGCAAGACTGCTACCAAAAACATCCTGATATTATCAGTCCCAAAACATCTACAGGTCATTAGTACCCAAGTCGGGCATTTAGACATCTTTAAAATTTTAGCTGCTTTCTACTACAGCCATGTTGGAAAAGTGACTTTCATTGTTAATATTTTTAAGCTAAGACACAGCTGTTCTGGGACTCTACTGAATTTATTCTAAGTGAAGCTGTAAATGCCACGTTACCAGCGGGGCTGGAGGGAAAGGGAGCGAGTGCTGGAATCCCATCAGATATATAAAGCAGGGCTTGATGGAAGCATTTAAATCTTCCCTTGTCGCCCTAGTCTGAAGATAAGCGTTGTTTAAATTCTGATTGTTTCAAAAGCTTTGCTGGTAACAGAATCAGTGCTATTAGGTTTCAGGAACTGGGGGTGCAGAGGCAAAGACTCACTTCTCTGTTCAAAAGCATATTAATGCAAGAGAGATTCCTTCCTCCCAGGAACCTTAAACACGCAGACTTTGTCACACGGCCATTCCACACCCCAGGATCCCAGTGTTGAACTGGTAAGGCAACAATGAGCCTTGGACTTAAGGTTGCCCAGGCCTAGCAGCTCTGGGGTGCCTTAAATGTAAACTAAAAACAATTTACCAAAAACAGTTTACAGAAAAGAAAGTAGGCTCCAGTTAGGTCTTGAACAACAAATGTCTCCAAACAAAGACATGCACAGAACCAGATACAAAAGCGCCTCTCAGTTTACGTTAAGTAAAGCCAAAACAGGCAACAGCAAATTCCGCAGGAGCCAAGAAAGCACCTGCTTTGACTCAGAAAACAATATTTTCCAAGCTTTTTTTTAAAATCAAGGGCATTCTGAGGACCTGCCCCACAATGGCAGGCAGATGAATGTATCTGGTATTTTATTACAGAATAGAGAATAAGATTTCAAACAACTAGGTCTAACATGTTTACCATGCCTGTGTGCCCCTGGATCACCTAAAGAAATATGTACTAGTAGGTGCCAGACAGAGGCATTATTTAATAAAGGCTGACACCAAAGTTTACGATCTCCTCTTGTGAAGCCAATTTATACTTCTTGATACTGGCTTCTGGAATGGATGAAAATGTGAAACGCAGCCAGAATTGTCTCCCTGGCTCCAGCTTGCAGATTTCAGGTAAATGATAGAAGCCAGGGTTTAGTTTTTAATACTTGTCCATTGGTCAAAATTTATTAGCAACCACTTAATAACGGGGGGGGG